CACCACAAAAAGGAGCTTCAGACACGGCGATGGCTGCAGCCTCCTTGTCCCTTGGCCTGACTGCCCACTAGCCACCTCTTTTAACGTGTCTATGTCTCCACGACTCTCTCTCGTTCCTTTATGCAACTTGTGCCTCCCTGCAGCCTGTTTATCCGTCTGTGCGTGCAGCCCTCTTTGTCTGTGTGTCCGGCCATCTGCGCCTCTCTATTTGCTATTCAGATGTCCTGCTCCCCGCACAGGGGACAGAAGCTCCTAAAGGCAGTGCCGTTAGTCATTCAGCTTTGGCAGTAGCTCATTTAAGTGGTGTAGGTCTAGCAAGACGAACCTGCTGAGACGATCGCAGTATGACTTGGCGTTAGGGTCAGGACGGTGTCATGGCGCGTTGCCTCCAAAACAGGAGGTCTCTGCTCAGCCTCATGCCCACTCCACCGCTCCATCCTGCCCTTTTCCACCTTGGATCTAGCACACTACATGATGCGCCGGTTCAGGTGGGAAAGCAGCCCTATGAAGGAGAGGGAAGAGCTGTTTTCCCTCCAGTGAGCCAGCTCCTTTGACACATTGTGCGTGCCCACGATGGTTCAACCTGAGGCAAGGGCAGGGAACAGAGGGTCTGACCACAGCAGCGAGAGTGAAGCACAGTTAGGAGAGGATGTGTGGGTGGAAAGGGGGTTTGGGCTCCAGAGCACTTGGATGCTCAAATAAGTCCACAAAGTGATTCAAAGCAAGGTAAAGAAGTGCATGTAAGCATTTCTGGGTTTCTCAGAATTGGCACACTTCTTGGGCTAATTCACTACAGTAAGGAGGAACTGGGGTTGCTTCAGTTCTTACAAGGCCTCTGGGGTAAATCTGCTCCTTTACCCTAGACAAGGTGAACTGATGCCTGTGAGTGCCCACCCCAACCCCACATGCCCACACCACTGCTGGGCCCAGCAGAGGCTGGCATGAGGATTGCAGGCATGTCCTATTTCATGAAAGAAAGCAGACATAAAGTCTACATTGAGGTCAGCAGAAGGAAAGCGGCTGGGCCTCTTCCAGGCTGGGAGGTTTGAAGGGCACAAGCTGCAGGGACATGGGCACTTCAGAGCTCCCCCTGGAAGTACAGGCAGGCAGTCATGACAGGATGCTGTCTTCAGCACCTGCAGAGAGTCCCCCAACCTACTGTGGAAAGTCTCCCAGACCTGCTGTGGGATGTTTATACAAGCTGCTGTGGGATATCCCCTAACCTCCTATTTGTGTGTCCCCCAGACCTGCTATGAGATGTCCCCCAGACCTGCTGTGGGATGTCCCCCGACCAGCTGTGAGATGTCCCCCAGACCTGCTATGGGATGTCCCCTAGACCTGTTATGAGAGGTCCCCCAGACCTGCTGTGGGATGTCCCCTAGACCTGCTATGAGAGGTTCCCCAGACCTGCTATGGGATGCCTGCTGACTGGCTCTGGGATGTCCCCTAGACCTGCTATGAGATGTCCCCCAGACCTGCTGTGCGATGTCCCCCGACCAGCTGTGAGATGTCCCCCAGACCTGCTGTGCGATGTCCCCCGACCAGCTGTGAGATGTCCCCCAGACCTGCTGTGCGATGTCCCCCGACCAGCTGTGAGATGTCCCCCAGACCTGCTGTGCGATGTCCCCCGACCAGCTGTGAGATGTCCCCCAGACCTGCTGTGCGATGTCCCCCGACCAGCTGTGAGATGTCCCCCAGACCTGCTGTGGGATGTCCCCTAGACCTGTTATGAGAGGTTCCCCAGACCTGCTATGGGATGCCTGCTGACTGGCTCTGGGATGTCCCCTAGACCTGCTATGAGATGTCCCCCAGACCTGCTGTGCGATGTCCCCCGACCAGCTGTGAGATGTCCCCCAGACCTGCTGTGCGATGTCCCCCGACCAGCTGTGAGATGTCCCCCAGACCTGCTGTGCGATGTCCCCCGACCAGCTGTGAGATGTCCCCCAGACCTGCTGTGCGATGTCCCCCGACCAGCTGTGAGATGTCCCCCAGACCTGCTGTGCGATGTCCCCCGACCAGCTGTGAGATGTCCCCCAGACCTGCTGTGGGATGTCCCCTAGACCTGTTATGAGAGGTTCCCCAGACCTGCTATGGGATGCCTGCTGACTGGCTCTGGGATGTCCCCTAGACCTGCTATGAGATGTCCCCCAGACCTGCTGTGCGATGTCCCCCGACCAGCTGTGAGATGTCCCCCAGACCTGCTGTGCGATGTCCCCCGACCAGCTGTGAGATGTCCCCCAGACCTGCTGTGCGATGTCCCCCGACCAGCTGTGAGATGTCCCCCAGACCTGCTGTGCGATGTCCCCCGACCAGCTGTGAGATGTCCCCCAGACCTGCTGTGCGATGTCCCCCGACCAGCTGTGAGATGTCCCCCAGACCTGCTGTGGGATGTCCCCTAGACCTGTTATGAGAGGTTCCCCAGACCTGCTATGGGATGCCTGCTGACTGGCTCTGGGATGTCCCCTAGACCTGCTATGAGATGTCCCCCAGACCTGCTGTGCGATGTCCCCCGACCAGCTGTGAGATGTCCCCCAGACCTGCTGTGCGATGTCCCCCGACCAGCTGTGAGATGTCCCCCAGACCTGCTGTGCGATGTCCCCCGACCAGCTGTGAGATGTCCCCCAGACCTGCTGTGCGATGTCCCCCGACCAGCTGTGAGATGTCCCCCAGACCTGCTGTGCGATGTCCCCCGACCAGCTGTGAGATGTCCCCCAGACCTGCTGTGGGATGTCCCCTAGACCTGTTATGAGAGGTTCCCCAGACCAGGGCAGGCACCGGCACTGCAAGCAGCACGAAAAGCTGTTGTTGTTATTGTTGTTTTTTTAGGTATGACTGTGCTGCTTCTCCCCCCCACCCCCAATAGCCACGCGTTGCGAATGAGTCCTCTATTGTCGCTGTTATCGTTTTTAGGCTTGAAATTTATTTTGGTTGTAAAAATATTTTTTCCCCAAGTTGTTATTTAACCCGAAGTGTTGCATCACTCTAAAGTAAAAAAAAAATTTTTTTTTTTTTAGAGTTTGGATTAATAACCCAGTGCTTGCATTCTTTCGAGAGCTTACATGGCTTTTGTAACCATCCGAAGTTGTACTCACAGCAGCGGGTTGCTCCACTGCTGTCCAGGCTCCCAATTCAAAGCGCACTCAAGTCAGTGAAAAGGCTCCTAGGGATTTCTCTGCACGCTAGCTAAGTTCCCAGGACCAATTAAATTTTGAGATGAGAGAGTGTGAAGGGATTTTTTTTTTTTTAATATTTCAGAATTTCAAGTTCCTTTTAAGTAGAAATGTTTCAAGCTGTGAAGAACCAGTGTAAAAATGTCTTAGTTATTAAAAAGGCTCCACCTTTAAAGCATAATTAATCTATTAAATAAAGTAATTGTAAAGTACAGAATAATAGATCAAGGACAAAACGGATTCAATCAGTAAGAGTACATTAGAATTGGAAAATGCTACTTCCTTAACTACTGCTGGGCAGTTTTTGCTTAAATCACTTGGATGCATTTTTGGCATCTGATGAATGGGCGCATCTTGGGTGCAAGTTCAGTTAGCTGCTCCTTCCCAAATTCCGTGGGGCTGAAAGGTGCTTTTCCTCAGCAATTTAAGGAGTTGACTGAAACCTTCCTCACTTCAGTGGCAGCTTGTCTGCTGGCTTCAGCAGGCTTTGGAGCAGCCATTGCAGCTGGGACTTTGTTCCCTCAGGCTGAATTTTCTTCAAAACTGTGTTTGAATGGAGCCCGGAAGAACAATGTTCTTGATGTTGTGTCCGCCGATTATTAGGAATATTGGTATGACTTACACGTTGGAGATGATAAGCTGTGGGGCGTTGCATCTGGTTTAATACTGTTATACATTTTTGAAAGGGGAGTCTTAAAAGTTCTTCAGGACATAGACATGTGTCGGCGGGGAGATATTCTGTTTTTTTCTTTGAGACGTTAGGAAGTAAACATTATCTACCTGAAAGGCTGTAATAGTAGTTTTATGGCCGTATTACTCTTTTAAGTAAATACAGTGTGTGTTTGGGCTCGTTTGTCGCATAGAGCTGTTTACGTTGTTAAATCCATATTTTAGGAGGCGTGATAGCCTTTTGGGTTATGCACACGATTTAGTTGCTTGACCCTAATGCAACAGCTCTTTCCTAAATAGCTAGCTGGTTGGTAAATATGTATTTTGATCTGGCTTCTGCTTTCTGAAATAGCGTAATATTTACCCAGTAGAGTACAGTCTAATGGCATTTATCATGTAAATCCCAAGGTAAGATATGTAAGCTTTTTCCTTGAGCAAATGTTTGTTCGCTACAGTCTTCCTCAAGCCCATTATGGTCTGCTCTGTACCTTTTTGCAAGCTTGCCTCGTCACGTCCCGCTCACCAGAATCCTCGGCCTGTCAGTCATGCTGCCAGACATTAAAAGAGTAGTGATTTACTTAAGCTTAGTTTTATGATCTAATCAGAACCTTTACCCAGTGGAATTTTCTCGGCTGAGAAAGGAAACTAGCTTTTGCACTAAGTTCATATAATAGAGTCTGATAATCTTTTGCTTAAAAAAAAATAAGGGAAAGATGTGCCATTACCTGTTTCCAAACCCTAATATGCCGATTGCTCTTAGGTTGTTGTTTTTTTTTTTTAATATACCCAATAGTTGTATTTTGTTTTGTGCTCTTATAAGCTACCAAGCATACCACATAAGTGACTGAAATTTCTATTTCCCCCCGGGAGGGCAAATGCCAACATAGAAGCATTTTCCTGGATGCGGACTCTTATGCAAAGATTTCCGACCGCACGTTTAAGCCCTCTCTAAGTTGCACGTGATTTTAGCTGACAACCAGAGACTACAAACCATTGGCCATCCCGAATCAGATCCTGCATTAGGCAGTGATGGCTTTAAACACGCTGGGTTTAAACACCCCTCCGAGAGGTGCCAAGCACCTCTGTGCCCTACTCAGATGAGCGGGAGACACACGGACTGTGGACCGTGCCTTATACCCTGTTACTCCCCCTTAATGCGCCATGATAACGCGTGCCGGGGTATCAGAGGTAGCTCTCAAGCACCTGGCCTGGCATATGTATGCAAACGACCAATTGTTTCGATGCTCTTTGTTGAACCGCAGGCCTGCGACAGAGACCAGCAGTGCGGAGGAGGGATGTGCTGCGCGGTCAGCCTGTGGATCCGGAGCCTGCGGATGTGCACGCCGATGGGAAACCTGGGCGAGGAGTGCCATCCCCTGAGCCACCGCGTGAGTAGGGCGGGCTGCGGGGCCGGAGCTGGCAGGGCAGGAACAAACACGGCTCTATCGCGCCGTGAGTCAAACGGCCTAAAAAGAAAAAAAAAAAAACCCTGCGCGGTGGAAACGCAGGGCAACATCGCACGCGTGGCTATTCCTCGCTGCCTGCATCTTCATGGAAATAGCGCTGAGGCAAGGAAACAGCTTGCGGTCAGAATTACTGCGAGGAAACAGGAGCCCGGCACCTGGCTGGAGAGCGGGCCCTGGTGCTGAACAGCAGCGTCACGGCACGCTGCAAAGCCTGAGAGCCACCCATGCCTTAAAAAGCCACTGGGAATACAGTGACACAAAAGAAAACTTGTGCTTGAGAAATCTCACCAAGCGCTCTGACTTCTATATATTAATTTCAAGTTTTTATATATGTACACACACACACACACACATATAAGACCAATTACATACTAGTACATTATCATTATATGACACACTATATTATTAATACAATAATATTAATACATACATTAAGTGTATGTACTTGTGTATACTCTATGTACTATACCAAAGCCTGTATTTATTTGTAAATAATACAGTCTCTATAGGGAAGACTGTTTGAGTTTGAGACCTTGGTGGTTTTCAGAAGCCTCCTCAGGGAAGAGCCACATGCGAGGGCCACCAAGGTGATCAATCCAGTTTCTAAGCGTGCAGTTAGTTCGTTGCATCTCTCGCTATTTCATCTGATGCCTGGCTTCTCGGCTCTGTACCTGTAGACTGCTTCCTCCGTTTTAGGAAGACTAAGGCTCTTTTCTCTTAGTATGAAACTGTTAAATCTTCTACTGAGATATTGGGGACTAGGTTCTCAGTTTTACTGTGCAATGTAAAAGGTTTCTCTTGCACGGGGGTCTTCATTTTCACAGGATCCTCGGGATAAGAGAAACTGGCTTCTAGTTGTTCTATGAGTTTATTGCTATTGCACAATAATTTACAGTCTGGTACATTTTAAGCTGATTGTACACATAATTACAATCAGCAGAGATGCCTGTCTGCCCCAGATTTATGGTCACAGTCCCTGATGGTTACAAGCTTTACGAGGTTAATTTTAGACTTACATTCCTCACCCTGCTGCTCTTCATGACAACCAGAAAACAAATTGATTTATGGTAGTACGTGAAATTAAGTATTTTTAAAGGTGGAGAGCTTGCTGAACAGTTTCCCTCCTCTAAATATTTGGGTGGGAAGGAGGTTAGGAGAGCAATTACTCTGAATATCAAAACCTTCCATTAGTCTGCAGGTCAGGTACGACGCAGACACCGTCCGTTCAGGCTTTGCCCGTCTTGCTGTGCCATTGAACTTCATCTCTGCCTTCAAAGGCTACGTAAAGTGAACGGCAATTAGCGCTCAAGGAAGATTAGCCCTGCGCTTGTGTCAAATCACACACGGGGGTTGCATGCTCGGTTCGCCTGAGCGCCTGCAACAAAACCACCGCAGCCTTTTGGGTAGTGCAGAAAAGAGAGTCTGGCCTCTATGCACAGCGCTGGTGCACGTCAACCTGCAAGGCCCATTTCTGCTCGTGATATCGCTATTCGGGGAGTTAAAGATGCTTCTTCCTTCTTTAAGACTGCCGCGCAGGGGAGCGGGGCTAGATGGGCCTGCCTGTCCTGTGTCCCCTGTTAAATCAGTGCCTGCCACTCCCTAGGTCAGTCGCTGCCCC